AGCAGTGTTTAGAAATTAATCTCTAACAATTTGGACTAGAGCTGACTCTACTGCTAAAGCCATTATGGCTCACCAAATTTCTTTAAATTCTCTTGCTAACATGGGTTTAGGGAACATAATAGCTCTAAGTCACATATTAGCTGAGCAAGTGGCCATTTGCGCCATGGCTAACCCTGCTTCTTAAGCGTGGGGAAATCCTCTGGGGAACTGGAAACACAATTAGGAGAAAAACACCACACGGACCCAAGAAGTCTCTGAACATCTGATATCTGGATCTGGTCAGCTGGCTATTTTTAGGATGGTGTGTGGAGTTTGTAGCTTATATTCAAACTGGATTTGTTTTATTATTCTGATTATTTTGCATCATAATATTTAAACTTTGTTCTTATAACCTGTTCTTTGTAGAGTTGACCCTCTGGAGAGGATGAGGTTAGCCAATGCTTGTAAGTGATTGGTCCAGCTTTTGATATTAAGAATGAACACGCAATGACATGATTCCAAATGGAATTTCTCCCAGTAATCTTTGTCTTCTGGTATGCTGTTGCTCTCGCATGGCCCAGGTTCCTGACATCGGCTCTTGCACATCTCCCCGACATAAGGCTATACCAACAGCTTGGCTAGGTCCAGCTCAGTGCTGAAGGGCGAGAAAGACCTAACTCCAGGCTGTGTGGCGGCTGACCAGTGATGTTCTCAAAGGAAAATCCTGGTCTAAACAGAGAATCAAAAAATGCAGCACACAGACAAAGATAGTCCTGGTAACCAAACCAAAGCCAAAAGGACCAGGAGAAAACAGAAATGGCCAGAGCAGAGAGACCTTCCCAGGAATGCCGGCTAGCGCGATCCAGCAAGCAACCTACCTTTCCAAGACTATGTTTTTTTTTCTTCTTTAGAAGTATTTAATAGCATTAACATTTTCTTTAGACTAGCCTTACATAGCAACTCCTGCCCTCCTGGCAGTCAGGGTTTGCCACTCTTGTAAGCCCCGCAAGTGCTAGCAAGCACCTTTTCATAACTTCCCCAGATTCCCTGTCCTACCTAAACCTTTAGCCTTTCCTTTATTCCCTGGGCATAGATGCTGCCGAAGCTGGGCATGGATGCTGGAGCTACAGTCATATGCCTTATTCCAAAATAAAATTTGCTTTATGAGAAAAAACACCTATTTAGAGGAATGTGTATTCCTGACCCAAATGTCACACACACACAGACACACACACAGACACACACACACACACACACACACACACACACACACACACACTTTCAGTGAGGCTTACCAATTTTCACACTCTTACAATGACTTTTATTTTCCCTGCACCTGTGGCTATTTCCCCTTTTATTGCATAATGCTATCTGTCTACATTTTCCTCTCACTTCTTCATCAGGCAAGCTGGTGGACTTTCAATTTCACATGCGCTGTTTCTTTTCTTATGCAAAGAATCAGATCTCACACCTCTGCTTCTGTTTTTTTATTTATTTAATTTTTTTGCGGTACGGGGGATTGAACTCAGGACCCTGAGCT